CCATTCCCCTCTCCTAAGCAGTTTTGCAGTTTTAAAAATCAACCTTGACTGTGGTAACAGAACCTACTGGGGTGGAAAAGAGTTTTAGAAGTTCTGGGAAATTTTTGTGCTCACGAAAGGCAGGCAGTTTCTAAGCTGGGCACCAGATCTTCCCCTACACCAGAGGTGGCATTCCGCTCACTGTAAATAAATGGCAGACTACCTTTCCCTCTGTCATTTCCCAATGTACCTACAAACCAGTGCATTATCTACGACGGAGATTTGGTTATTCTATAAAGAAACATGAATAAAAGAAAATCAGTAATAATGAAAAAAAATACCAGGTCACAGAGGATTTTTATTAACAGGTCAGAAAAAAAAGCTCTGCAGGGGGGCGCGCAATGAGCCAAGCATTCACTAGAATGAAGTCATTGGGGTGGGGGAGGAGGGAGCATGGAGGAGACTGGCTACCTCTTGCTGTTAAGGTCACTACTCTTTGACAGAGGTGGCCTCTGACCTCAACAGCCCTACAATTCTGTTTTGACTGACCCTGAAACCCATGAAATTCAGATGTAGGCACTGCCCAAAAGTTGAGATAAAGCTGACTAATATGGGAAAAGCTCCCGGTATGTGCCCCCAGCTGAAAGGAGCTGGCAGTTCTTTGGCGGTAGACGCAATTTATTCTGTCCTCCTCCTTTCAGGGAAATGCTAATCCTTCATAGGCAACTCGAGGGGAAGACTAAAATGTGTTGATGATGAATGACAATAATCCTTTGTCCACCGCTACCTCCTCCTAGGGTTGAACCTTAAGAGTTTAATCAAATGTTGGTAAGTAAATTAATGCCTTACTGCAAAAGGAGGTGGTGGGAAGAAAGGTTGTGAGAATTTATTTCCTCTGACATGTGAATCTCAATAAACTTAATTGCAAAGGCATTGATATGGGAAGAGGGTATTGAAAGTGTTTTAGATTCCTATTTACACACACATACCCATAACAGTCACTATCCCAAAACTGTCTTACAGCATGTCAGTGTTAAAATGTTAACTTCAAGGTCTAAAGACCAAAGCAACACATTGGAATCACTTTGCTGTTGTTTTTAACAACAGCAGTAACAACAAAACTCATGCATTTGTGCATCCATAGGAACAGCAAGATGTTTAGCTCTGAATCTTCACATCTTTCTAAGGAAGGTTGCATTTTTCATTCCAGTTCAGCTAACATTTTAGTGGCTACTCCATGCCAGGTCTGCCTTGCTGGCCACTTTGACAGCCGTCTCTTTTAACCCTTCCAACTTACTGCAAAGTAGGTATAATTACGCTCATTACAGTTGAGAAAAATCGGTGCTCAAAGAGGGCAAGTGATTTATCCCTGAACACCCAGAGTTAAAATTCAAACTAGAAGTCTTTTGGCTTTCAGCTTTTCCTGTTAGATTAAAAAAAAAAAAAAAAAAAAAAAAAAAGGTTGCCAGAAGGGTTTCAAGGAATTTGACAAATGATCGGCTTCTGAGACTCACACAGTGAGTCAGGACTAAAAACCAGGTTTTCCAATTCTCAGTTCGGGTTCTTTCACCACATTACAGCATTGCCACCCAAAGTGCTGGGTTTTCCCAAGAGGTGTTTGGATGGGATTCCAAGTCAGCGAGATGCAAATAGGTCTGACCCACATTCCTGCTCTTGGATAAATAAAAACTCCTAAAGGGCAGAGCCGATTTTGTGTGCTTAATCTAAGAGTCCCACAGTGGGTAGTCAGTCAATACTAAACAACTAGAGGGGCATTTGCCAAGGGCTAACGGCACGGGCTCAATTTAAGCAATCAGAATACAGCGAATGTTGCTGAGGAACCTCATTAAGGTGCTGAAAGGCTGAATCAAGTAACATTTTAGGAGTTAAAAAAAAATGCTTGAAGTCATCTAGTCCAACTCTAATACGATGAGATCCAGAGATAAAATAATGTGCTTAAAGATCTGAAGACAATCAGCAACAGACCCTCCCCTCCTGTCTCCCAATTCTATTTCATTTTATGTCATACAGCATTGTAAGGTAACATTTTCAAGAATGCGACATGTTGTAAGTTGAAGTTGGACTGGCTGGTTATAGAGTCATCATTGATTATGAAACATCTCTCATATTTAACTTTTCCTTTCCCACTGACCAAACTGACCTCTAAGAAATCTCCATTTCTGGCTTTCAAGGTCAACCAAGTTGGTATCATTTCTCAACAAGCGTCTTGTTAATTTTGGCCTCCTAACCTTTTCTCACAGCGTTTCCCCCTGTCTGGGAGCCCTCTATGTTCTTTCCACCATCCTTCTATAGATCACGAAGGGTACTCTGAATACTCTCCTTCCCATTAATGTTTACTTTGCTTTGATGTATGCAGTACTATGCTCAATTTGTTTTTTCCTATCAGTAAAAAAGATTATTGCTTGGTTGTTTCTTATATCCCCAAAGGACAGAATCAATTATTTATACTTTTAAAAATGTTTTATGATATCTAAGACAATGCTATGCTCCAGTGAGCACTAAATACGTTAAAGGATCAAACTATGTTAACTTTGCTATAAAAGGTAGACTGCATTCATTTTTTTTTCCTTTTCTTTTTCTTTTTTTTTTTTTTTTGAGACAGAGTCTCGCTCTGTTGCCCAGACTGGAGTGCAATGGCACAATCTTGGCTCACTGCAACCTGTGCCTTCTGAGTTCAAGCGATTCTCCGGCCTCAGCCTCCCAAGTAGCTGGGATTACAGGCATGCACCACCACGTCCAGCTAATTTTTGTGTTTTTAGTAGAAATGGGGATTCACCATGTTGGCCAGGCTGGTCTTGAACTTCCGACCTCAAGTGATCTGCCACTTTGGCTTCCTGAAGTGCTTGGATTACAGGCGTGAGCCACCACACCTGGCTGAGACCGTATTCTTGGTAAAAAATGAAATAAAAATAACTTTCACAATGCCAGGTTACTTCTCAAAGACTAATGAGTTACATGCACATGAGTTTGGGGGTCTAATCAAAAAACCAGTTCAATGGTAGATACTTTACCAAAATATTGATCCAGTGGTTCTCAAAACTGGGTGCTTATTCAAATCAACTGAGAAGCTTTTAAAACTACCAGGATCCCGACTTCACCACAGATCAACTGAATCAGAATCTTTGGAGGTATGCCCAAGGAATGATTTGCACATATCATATTGATATCTGACTTGCACATAGATTTTCACACCCCCACTCTTATTAACAAGTTTTTCTAAAGAATGAGCATACTTAAAGGTGGTTTTGTTTTTCTGAGAATCACAAAATTTTAGAACGGAAAAATTTAGAACTGAAATAATATCTAGATCAATCCCTTAGTTTAGCAGCTAAGGACACTGTGGGATTAATCCAGATATTATTTCAGTTCTAATTTTCTAAACCTCAAAAAAGGTTGAGTGAGTGGCTTCACATAGTGAGGTGGTGGTTGCTGAGTGACAAGTCATATCGTGAATTAGTGGAATTCTCTGAACTCCAATTCTGGAGCTATATAGGCAATAGACCAAGCTGCTAAGTCTTTAAATTTCTGCTTTCTTCTAAAGAAAATGTATTAAAAGTATTACAAACAGAACAGTTGAATTTTAAAACTGTTAGCACCATTAGGTACTCATTAAAGACGTTCAATTTGGCACATACCAACTAGCCCATTGTCATGGCAAGAGGAAATGCCACAGCAGGATATCAAAGTCCAAAAGAAATGACTAGTATCTATTTGCAGGCTTTTTCATTGGCCCTAACCTGAAAGTCCATAACATTTTATGTTATCAGAGGCTAGGGCACTTCTAGCCCTTAACCATACCACTCATTAGCAAACTTCTTCGCTTACAAGCCAGCTAATCAATACCCTGAACTTTCCTTTTCTTTGTAAAAAGGAAGACAGTGTCTGTCTTATTGACCTTACGATGTCAGCTATTACAAGAATTAAATCAAATAATCTACATGGAGATATTTTCAGAATTTAAAAGCTCTGTCCATAGATATGTATAGGATTACTATATTACTGTTTCTAAGAGCAACAACTTGTGAATAAATATTTGTTGCTTTGATTACCAAGGCTCTAAATCTTAATTCCTCGCTATCATGCAACCCAAGCATCACCAGGAAGTGGAGTTGAAACAACACTAGAGTCTCTAGTCCCTGAAAGTATCCCATAACTAATGTTCAAGGAGGTAAAGTGATGCAGTAACCTAGGACTCAGTTGGTCTAGACTCCATTCCCAGAGTCTGCTTGTAACTATTGACCTTGGACAAACCACTTAATTTTTCTGGAACCAGAGTCTCGTCAGTGGTCAAAAGATGACTTGAATTAAGAGTCGAAAATTCCTCCGAGTTATAAAATCAGAATACTAACATTTAATTAAAATTACTAAAGTACAACTTCCCAAGTCGTTAATTCATGTGGTTTTACATTTTTTAAATCTCTTTTTAGAAGTACAGAATTGGAGCCTAAAAACAGCCTATTTCTGGCAAACACATTTCAAAGACATGTGCCTGAAATGTCAGAGACCTTCTAAAAGAATTCTAAAGAGAAACATCTCTATGGAAATAAAATACTTTGTGCTTGTTTAATATCCTCTCTGGGAGACCCTTGCTCCAAAAATAAATATATGGTTATCCCCAAAGCACTTAATAGTGTACTGGACACAGAGTAGGTACCCAAATACTTTGTTAACAGCTCTCAGTTTGAGTTCCAGTTCTTGTTACTTAACTTGTCTGATCCTATTTTCTTATTTATAAAGTGGGAAAAATACCTTCCCCAATGATCCATTGAGATAATGAGTATTAAAATGTTCTGTAAACTGTTAAAAACAATTGCAAGATGTTACTATTACCTTAGGAATTCAGCTAACTATTCCAAGACCTTACTAAAATGTGCTTTTTGGAGAGATGGATTAAAATCTTTCTGACTTAATTACAGAGCACCTGCTCCAATGCCTACCTCAACGAATATGCTCAATAAATGTGCTGCATGGAAAGTATAATACACAGAAAGACCAAAAGCTCCATAAACTCAGGTCCCATTTATTCTTATCTCCAAATTTCCAAATTCCCAGTATCTAGCAGAATATCTAGCACAACATAGAAGAAATTCAATTATTAGATGAATAAACTTTTGCCCCTTCTACTTTCTCTTCAGCACAGCTCAAGCGGAGAGAGACTGGTAGGGAAGGCATCAATGATGATTACTGACACAGGCTGCTTGGAATGAAAAACTTGGAGTTACTTGGAGAATTCATCCACTGTCCATCAACTCAAGCTTGAGAGAGCAGAAAGAGAACGGGCTCTGAGTTCAAATTCAGTTTCCACAAATTTGCAATTTCGATAAATTAACCAATTAACCTCTCCAAGACTTAGTTTCCTCATCTTAATGAGAATAACTCACGTGGGTGCTCACTAGAATGGAAGCTCCACGAGGGCAGGGACTTTATTTTGGGCCCACTGTATCCACACTGCATTGAACAGAGCCTGGGCACAGCACAGGCTCTGAAATATTTGTTGAATGACTATGTATGAAGTTGATTGAGCTAACACAGGTGAAGTATTAAACAGCGCCTGGCACGTAATTACCACTGGGGCAATGAGAACCTCTATCATCACCACCACCGCTACCGTATCAGTATTATTCCAATTCCTTGCCTTAGAGCAGCCGCTTCGGGGTGGGGGAAGGCCTGGTTTCAAACCACGGCTTTCCCATTCCCTGGCTGTATGACTTAAGATAAATTAAACTATTCGGGTTCCTTTTTGTTTCCACAATTTGTGTTGAGAATTAGAGGATATAGGAAAATTACCTAAGAAAGTCTGGAGCCCGGTGGCACGAGATGTATGCTAGAGATTAGTATTAAGGCAAAAAATAAAAAAATAAAAATAGCCAAGTCCTCTTTTATCCAGATAACTGCCTTAGATTATTTCCCACGTTACTGTAGCTGAGTACATAACAAGAATGCAAACAAGAGTGGAAGGAATTTCCGAGACCGAAACCGCTAAATGAGAAAAGGGAATTAAACCGGTGCTTGACAGTTCCCACCAAGGGGTGGCAGTTTCCGCGACCGTCAGCCAGTCCAGCCAGCCCAACCAGCCGAGGCTGGAGCAGGACATTCAGCTGCGTAAGGAACAACACCAATGCAGAAGCTTAGACCCTCCCTCTAACGGTCTCCCCGCCGCTGGCCTCAGGCGGCCGCCAGACTCCCATTTCCGGCCCTCGCCGTACTACAGTTCCCAGCATGCCCTTGGAGGGAAGTCTTTCCGTTTGGATGACTACTAATCCCAGCATGCCATTGGCACTCCAGTAAATCAGATGGAAGAGTGGGATAACCCCGTTGCATGCAGGAAATTGTAGTCCATTTAGCTGCTGGTTCATAGATGGGCGGAGAAGAGCCGGGCTGCTCTAGTCCGCCGAGAATGATTCATAGAAGAGGGTCGGGAAAGAACGGTTCAGTCTGTGAAAGTTCCCTCAAAAGACTGGACACTTTTCCGAGGGAGGGAGGGGCAGGAGAGCAAGCAGAACCTCGAGCCTGACCCCGCCTCGGTCCGATCGCCAGGCCTCGACCTAGTCCTGGGCCTGGTCGGGGGCGGCCGTGAGGCGCCGGTTGCTGGGGGAGCGGTGACGTCGCGGGGTGAAAGTTGAGGGGCGGTGACGTAGGGCCGGCTCGGGCGGAGGCTGGCGGGTTGGAGGCAGGAGGGAGGGAGGGAAAGAGGGAAGGAAGGAAACTGGGAAGGAGCGAGCTAGCGAGCGGGGGCGCGAGGCGTTTACCTGGAGGCAGCGTCTTGGGCGCGCAGAGCGGCCGTGGCTCCCCCGCACCTGCGGCCATGGATGAGGAGCGCGCCCTCTACATCGTCCGGGCCGGCGAAGCGGGGGCTATCGAGCGGGTCCTGAGGGATTACAGCGACAAGGTAAAGAGTCCTGGCCCCGGGCGTCCGATATCGCACCCCCGGGCCGCCCTCCGTGCTTGCACATCGCATCCTTCCCCACCCCCCCTCATTCCGGGGATGCGCATTGCTCTTCCACGAAAACGTTTCCGGCTTGGGCATGCGTGTTTGTACCTCCAGCCTTTTCCATCCGTGTATCCTGCATCCCACTACCCCCACTCTAGCGCCCACTCCTCTGATTCCTGGCCCAGCAGCTTGACCTCCGGTCCTCCTCTCAAGCGTGCAAGTCACACCCCCGGAATCCATAGATGTGCATCAGTGCCCCGTGGCCCACTCCTGGATGCATAAATGCATGCGAGGCTTCCTCACCTGTATAGCATAAAAATACGTGCTTCCCTGCATAAACACATCCCTTGACATGCATAAAATATATAGCAACGGTGGCAGTTTTTTCTGTACCTTTAGCACGGTACTGTTTTCAAGGCATTGATGTCTCGTCTATGGTCTCCTTTGATCCTCAGAGTGTTTATAGGGTAGATGGTCTCATCCTCCCCATTTTATAGATGAGGAAACGGAGGTGCAAAGAGCTGAAATCATGCCCAAGGTCATGGACTTATTTTGTTGTAAGTGGGTGGAGAATGTAACTCCTAATGATACCTATTATTTGTATCGCATTAACAGCTTTGCTGTCCATTATCTCATTTAATCTTACAGCAATTCTGTGAGGTATTATCTGCATTTTGCAATTTAGACTCTAGATTGGTTAAATAACTTGCCCAAGGTCATACTTGGAGCTCGTATTCCAGTTTAGTTCCTTCCACTTTACAACTCTGCTGTAAAAGAGTATTTTGTTATAAATCCGTCAGTTCTCTGAATCTCTTTCCAAGAACCGTTAGCTCTTCATTACTTTTCCTTCCAGGAATTTTACATGCTCACTTCCAAAGATAGCCTAACACACCTTTATCCTTTGGTTTAGAAGAATCCTTTATAGGAATGACTGACGACTCCCTTCTGTGAAACACGCCCGACACCAAGTCACAACCTAGCTGTAATGTTTTTCTTTCTTTTGCATCCGCACATAATCTCCCCTTAGTGTTTGCTTTGTGCCCACCACTGCATCCATCCACTTTGTATTATTGACAATTTGTGTCTTATTTTTTGAATCTTTTCTAAATGGCATACTGGCAGCTTAATTCCCATTTGATCTTCCCAACAACCCTGTGAGGAGAGTGATGGTATTCCCCAATTCACAAATGATAAAATTTAGGATAATAATGTGGTCCCAAGCCCACACAGCTACTGAGAGATGGAGCAGAGATTTGAATTTAGGTCGTCCAACTCCACGTACAGCGCTCTTTCTATAGTACCGTGTTGCTTTCCTTGGGAGGATACACAGGTTCTATCCATTCATATCTTAGCTCTTTCACTTTCTGATATGCCTTACTGTTGAACATGTTTGCCTAATTTAGGAATAACTCATTTAATTAATATTTTGGAAATTAGAATGATTTAACCCGATTTATTACTGCTTTCCAGAAAAGATACGAGGCAGCTCCAAACTGATTTTCAGAAGGAAGAAATGCAACAGAGGACTTGGCCATTTGTTCAGTCAGCCAATGTTTATTTAGCATTTATTATATGCCAGATACCCAGCAGTAAATAGGACTTTGTTTCGGTAGGGGAGGACGAAAGACCTTCAACTGAATATAATCACCTTCTTTAATATTTCTCCTTCTCTTTATGGCTAAACTAATTAGACATCAGATTTGCTTCCTCCAATTTATCTCTTCTTGTTGGTCTCCCTCCAGATTGGCCTCTGCTTACCACTCCTGGCCAGGTGCTGTCAGAGCTTCAATCCTGAACTTTTCCAGCTCCCCTTTTGTATTGGGAATGTTTTTAAGGTGTTTTGCATGGTGTGTGTTATCCTGAAGTGTTTCAAAAGATTCCCAAGCACTTGTAATTTTGGGATGAAGCCTGAGAGTGCTCTGACTAGATGTGAACTGGGGCCGTCAACTCTTTCAGAAGAAAGCGTGCTCTTCTTTTTCTTTCTTTCTTTTATTTTATCTTTTTGGAGACAGGGTCTGTGTTTGTCGCCCAGGCTGGAGTGCAGTGGTGTGATCATGGCTCACTGCAACTTCCATCTCCTCCCCCCCCCGCCCCTCCCAAGTAGCTGGGCCTACAGGTGTGTGCCACAGAACCTGGGTAATTTTTTAAATTCATTTTTTGTAAAGATGGGGTCTCACTATGTTGCCCAGGCTACTCTCAAACTGCTAGGCTCAAGCAATTCTCTGACCTTGGCCTCCCAAAATGCTGGAATTATAGGTGTGAACCACTGTGCCTGTCCAGAAAGCTTTCATATATAATACTGACTGTAGTAGGGCCAGTATAGTAGGGCTGCTTATAGTACAAAGAAAATGACTGAGCATCATATTGCAGTGAGGTTTTGCCCCTCAAAGGGAGAGATTTTGGGAGCAGGTGAATAGGAAGTAGATGTATGTTTATAGTGGTTCAGGCAGTGAGAATGGGGAGGTGGAATTAAATTGCCCAGCTCTACGGTATATGGAATTTGGAACTCTGAAAGAAATAGGTACCATATATTTCAGTTTCCTTATCTGGAAAAATTGATTTGAGAAATGTTTGGATTATGAGGTGATTATGGGGCATTGAGGAGTCCAATAGAGAGAAATGAATGATATATAGAGAGAGACTGGTTCATTGTTTTGGGAGAGTAGTGGGGAGGTTCTTTATGCCACCTTATTTCTCTCATAAAACTAGTCCTTGAAAGGAGGCAGTCAGGTATTGTGGAAAGGTGGTAGGATTTGGCATCAAATCTCAACTCTGTTATTTATTAGCTTCATGACTATGGATAATTATATTAAGCCTCTGTATCTCAGTTCCCATATCTATAAAATAGGGATAATATCACCGTTCTCTTAAATTATTGTGAGGATTACATTAAGTGAAATATAATGCTAACACTGGGCACAATGCGCCTAGGAAGTACTCGCTCAGTAAGTTACAGTTACAATGGCCAGGGTACCTAGGAGGTCATGTGGCCAGAGCACAGGTCCTGGAGCCAGCCTCTGATCCTCAACTTAATGGCTTGTGTGGCCCTAAGACAAGTTACTTCACTTTGCTGTGGCTTAGTTTCCTCATCTGCCAAATGGAGATAATAATAGTAACTGTATCATAGGCTTGTTAGGATTAAATGAGTTACATGTGTAAAGCACACGGAACAGTGTCTGCCTCTGAGGAGGCACCCCATAACTGTTAGCTTTAAACAAAAAAATTAAGCATGTGGCTTGAGTTGGTATAGCACAATATTAAAATTTGGGACTATGCTGGACCCTTCTTTTTCTAATAGATAGCAACATACCTTGTACCACTTTGAGAGATACCTGTCTGACTCCAGGAAACATCTGTTTCTGCTGTGTTATATAGACTCTCATTCACTGACCTTTTTTATCTTGGGGAGGAAAGATCTATCTATCCAAGAAAGAATGAAACTTCTCTGTTTGTCAAGGGCATAACGCAGCATAGGACTCAGCATAGGCAAATTCTTTGCTTTTATTTTTTATTTTTTTGGAGATGGAGTCTTGCTCTGTCACTCAGGCTGGAGTGCAATGGCACTATCTTGGCTCACTGCAATTCTCCTGCCTCAGCCTCTTGAGTAGCTGGAATTACAGGTGCACGCCACCATGCCTGGCTAATTTTTGTTTTTTTTTAGTAGACAAGGGGTTTCACCATGTTGACCAGGCTGGTCTGGAACGCCTAACCTTGTGATTCGCCCCACTCTCCATGGCCTCCCAGAGTGCTGGGATTACAGGCGTGAGCCACTGCTCCAGGCCTTTTTTTTTTTTTTTAATTTAATGGGAAGAGCAATTGTTTTTGTCTCCTCAATTCACCTGTTAACATTTATTGAGTGCCTGCTATGTACTATGTATTATTGCAAGCACTTTCACATTTTGTATGTCATCTTTTATTAATTCCTCTTACATTAATTCTCTCATATGAAAACTTATGAGTGAGATGGAAGTATTCTATATACAGGCTCAAGGTCACAGAGCTGGGAAATGGAGGCCTGGTCTTCAGATTCAATATCCAGGGATCTTTTTGCAGGGCTATGTTGCCTTTACCCTTGCTCTGCTGTGTTTTTGAGCACAGAAAAGGTTTCTTTTTCAGGAGCAGTATACTACAGTTATTTCTCAGAATCCAAAGGGGATTGCTTCCAGGATCTCCTGTAGATACCAGAATCTGTGGATACCAAAATCTTCAAATGCTTTAGTCCCTGATAGGAAACAGAATAGTACTTGCATAGAATCTGGGCACATCCTCATATTTGCTTTTTTTTTTTTTTTTTTTTTTTTTGACAGTCTTGCTCTGTTGCCCAGGATAGAGTGCAGTGGCTCAATGTCAGCTCACTGCAACCTCCGTCTCCCTGGTTCAAGCAATTCTTCTGCCTCAGCTTCCTGAGTAGCTGGTATTACAGGGGCGCCCCACTGTGCCTGGCTAATTTTTGTATTTTTAGTGGAGACAGGGTGTCACTATGTAGACCAGGCTTGTCGTGAACTCCTGACCTCAAGTGATCTGCCTGCCTTGGCCTCCCAATGCTGGGATTACAGGTGTGAGTCACAGTGCCTGGCCCCTCCTGTATACTTTAAATCATCTCTGGATTACTTGTAATACCTAATACAATGTGAATGCAATACAAATAGTTGTATTGTATTAGTTAGGGAATAATGCCAAGAAAAAAAAAAGCCTGCACTTGTTCAACACAGACAATTTTTTTTTTTCCAGATATTTTCAAGGCATGTTTGGTTGAATCCACAGATGCAGAATCCTTTGGTTTCTGTTGGGTCCTAATCACCTCCACTTTAGTAATAGAATGAACTGTTAACTTGGGGAAGTGTGTATCATTCTAGTCTAGACTGTTAGACTATTCAAGCTCTGCTCCCTCTCAGGCCTGTGTTTTTTTTTTTTGTTTGTTTTTTTTTTTTTTTGGTAGAGATTGGGGTCT